AATGATAAATGGAGGAACTGAATGATTTTGAAGTGATGTAATTTGATAGGGCAGAGATACTGGCAAGTGTACAAAAATGATGTGATCCGCTTGTAAGGAATCAGTGGAACGGCACAATTCGAGTTTTATTGAAAGATTTTAAAATGGTGTCTGCTCCTAGTTTAGAAAAAAATGTCTAGGCAAGTCATTAAAAGTACTTCGAAAAAATAGCAAGTAGGGCTACAGCTAATCGGTCGTTATATGCACTTTACTTCACACATCAGTGAATCGCTAAACAAAATGAATTACAATCTGCAACCATTTTAACTGGTTGAATAGGAATTCTGTGTTTACTTTTTGCATTCACAGTTGATAAACGTTCGCCGTTTTTTTTCTGTTCTCAACTATACGAGTTCTTGATAAAAGAGGATACGAAAGGAATATTACAATTAGAGACCTGGCGACCAAATGACTATATTTATCATATATGTACTAACCAACATATCAATTGATTTGTAAAGACACTTCAGAATTTGAGAAACGGCTAGAGATTTTAACGACACAGAGTTTTATAGAATTCTAGACTTGTCTATTTGTGAGAGTCAATACATTGGTACTATAAAAAATCATTTATAATGCATTTGCTTCTTTATGCCCACCTTCAAGTTTTGTTCTGCTGTCCGTGTTTTACAGTTGCATTTCTTCCTTTTTCTCGAACGCAACCTTACTATCATTCTACATCAAGTGGAAAAAAGAAGAGAAGCAGAAATACTGGTCTAATGAGGTTGTTACTATGATCTAACGGTGGTTTCTAGCTAGTACCGTGTAACGGTATATGGTCTCATATCGTCGTTTCTTGATGCATTCCCGAAACCTCTCAAATCATTCCCCCAAAACAAAAAAAACCAGGATTTATTTGTCATATGTCTGCTTCAGCCTTGTTTCTCTAAGTGACAGAAGAACGTTACTTCTTTTAATGTAAAGCCAATGTTCTCTTCTACTTGACAACTGAAGTGTATTTTGTCACTTTTTGAGTAGCGAACTACAAGTTCTGTGAAACATGTGATTTGAAAACTTTTACTAAACGGGGTATATCGTCGCTTACTCTAAATTCTCTTGATAATATCTTGCATAGCGTTATGAACTACATTGTTTTTTCTCACGGCATTAACCTACCTCCATTGTGTCATTCACTGATATCGCATTCCGTTGACATTGACGTAATGATATCAGCAGTTTGTCCCTTAAGAAAAAAGGAAAAGTATTTGACTTTTCCTTTATTAGATAAGTGGGCTCCACAATGCGATAAGTACAACGCGACTGTCTTCGTTCTTCCACCTGAGTTCCTTCACTCTATTCTATTCGTACATACCGATTATTCAGCAATATGGCAGGTACTGTGGAAACAGCAACAACATATAGTTCATGGGTAAGATTTGTATTACATAGTTAATGCGATAGAATTCCGAAAACCATACATATCCAGCTTACATTTAGATGGGCTTATTGTACGTCTTCAACTTGATTGTTGGTACTGGTGCATTAGCGTTACCAAGAGCTTTTCAACAAGCTGGTTATATACTTAGTATAGCCATCCTTGCAGTATCCGCTGGAGCCAGGTAAATCTACTTGAATCTTGAATTTTACTTTTGCTATGATTCTGAATAAAATTTCCAGCTATATTTCGGCAACATTCGTCCTTGAATCGCTTGCTACAGGGAATGCTGTACAACATCGGAGGCGTAAGTGCAAGATAAAGTGTAACTTTTCTGCTACCTACAGCTAGATAGTTGGAGCGCTGCGTCTAGATACGGTAGTTTTATCGTTTTCTTACGATCTAAGTCGGATATTGCATGATTTGTCTACCATCCTCTCTATAGAGGCCGCAGTCGCGAATCAGTTGCCGATTATCATAGAGGCGGTAGAAAAGCTCTCATCGTATCCATGGCTTACGATTCGAGTACATTTGACTTTACTACATTAATCGCGGTGGTTCTCAAGGAAATCGTGCCTCATAGTATAAGAAACGGCTCTAAGCTTTAACAGACATTTACTTTTCAATTTGAAAATCATATGGCAATAATTAAACAAAAAAATAATGAATTGAAAAAGAAAAGTTGAGATGGTAAAATTGGCGCAATAGTTCAAGCTTGGTGTAATTGACATTTATACATTTAAATTACAAAGGCCTTATCCTACAACTAATAAATCATCCACATCACGTGCGATATTTTGGAGAATTACTTAGCTCAATTACTTCTTCATCGACAGAGGCCAAACAGCATATAGAAGAGAAGAGAGAACTGTCATCTGTTGCTTTGCCTCTTCATTTTTTTGACAGAGAAAAGATTAACGCATCAAGTATAGTGAAAATATCTTGCAAGCACCTTTCGATCACCAATAAATGTCAACACGTGTATCAGTCTTTTTTCTACGTTGTTCCTTGTAACGACTATCGAAAGTCACAAGGACATTCCTAGCATCACTGAGATGATATGGAACATTCTACAAAGAGAATCAGTAGCCCATGGTGAGTACAAAGAACTTATAGCTCTATATTGTAAAAAAAGGTACAGATCACTTCGCAGCACAAAAATTAAGTCGGAGCTACCGAAAATACCAAGGTCTACCTTAGGAATGTAGGCGGTTATGATCGATAGAATTTTTCAATCTATGCTTTCAACACATTCAACAGCTCTTAGTTCAGACTCTATTTTAGAGAATGAGCCTCTGGGTTTTGTTATCCTTCTGATATTTTATAATATAGTATACTATATAGAGGACTTCAAATTGCAAGCACCATTCAGTGTATCTGAAGGGCTAACGATCAAATGTATCTAAGAATCGATTTCTGCTAGTTTTCAGGGGTAGCTACTATAGAACGATCGGATGACAGTAAATTGGAGATCAAAGAAAAGACTGAAGTTGTCAAGTCAACGAATGACCCAAGCATTTTCGAAATCAATGAAAAGATTGAAGTCGTAAGCTATTTACCAAATTATCCATATTCTCTAAAGAAATCATTGTTAAATTAATGTGAATTTACTTGCAGAGTCAGATGGCAAACATGTTCCTTGGAAAAATTGGTGTCATTATATGTTACTTGTGTATGGATATTTATTTATTCGGAGATCTTGCTATATATTCTACAACAGTACCAAAATCATTGATGAGCATTATATGGTAGTTTCACCACTCTTGTTTTGCATAATAGTTATTATGGGGATTTCTGCACTTCAGTGAAACCAAACCTGGCGAAACTCTTCCTCACGATTATAAGTGCCGACCAGGAGCACCAGCTTTTTTCACACGATTTACTGGTAAAAGAACATTCGAGTATAATAGTAATATATATAAAAATGTGTTTAAGTCTACCGATTATGTGTTGTACTCTTCGTGATAGTAACACTTCCTATGGTTATAGCTGGTGTACAGAAAACCAAGTATTTGCAACTAGCGACAACGCTTTCAAGGTGGCTAGGTAAGTACCCATGCAAGGCACGAAGCTTACTGTTTGACTTTACAAGAAAAAACCTCTATGAAAAAATCGGAAATCACTGCAAAACCTCTTCCGCAGCCTATAGACATGCATGCAGACAGCGAGAAGAGTGTATCGCCACTCGCTTAGAGCGCGTTTTCTTTTTTTAAGGTACGGAGGTTTACTGTATATCAATGAGGCGGAAAATTGATTTTCGTAGTCTGGTAGATACGGTTCATTTGTGACAATAGACGTATAAAAAGGGTTATGACATGCGAAATTACAAAAAGCGAAGCACTTGCTCATCGGAGATTACAGGTCTCTCGCAAGTGACCTAAGTCACAGTTACGGTGATATTCTAATCTATATAATTTTTGAAGTGCAAACATTTTGTCTACTCTTCTTTCATCTCCAACCCTTTGCTGGTTTTCTTAATCAATCACATTCTGTGGAGCATTCACTTACGCTTGTGATGAAAACGCTTGTGATGAAAAACGCTTCCTGTTCATTCCTGCGAAATTTTTTGCCTAAGCACGATCAGAAAAACTTCTCCTTATCATCAAAAAAAGGTGAGGAAACAAGTGAACACGCCAGAAATTGCAAAAATCTTTCAACTTTTGTCACATTCTGCT